TCTAGTTAGATCAACAGAACCATGCGTGCCCAATCCTGGACAGGCTGGCAGAATTCTTCCGCTGACCTAGCTACCTCCCCACACCGATGCGGAGAGCCCATTCCCATCAACATAGGGCACGGCCACACTACGGTGCTACCCGCAGCTGTGCCGCTGTAGGGCGGACGTGCCCTTACGACCTGGGATTCTCCTTTAAAGGGCTCCTTTGGCATCAGACGCTGCCCTAGACAAAATGGAGGTGGGGATGTCCAGCTGGACAAGGGAAAGAGACTCACTGGCCAAAGGAAGTACAACCCCTCCCCCCCCCCAGCTGGGCCTCTGCAGCCCCCAAGCAGCTGGGGTGGGGCAGGAGTGGGGGGCCTGAAACCAGGGGAGTTGGGGCCAGTGGGGAAACTGAGACCCATGGGGGTGGGGGGGGAACAGGGGTCGCAACTCGTTGGAGGAAGGGACTAATCCGAGCCGCTTCATACGGCGCAACCCGCCGCGTGCGCTGGCCCCGGAAAAGATTCCCCCCCTTGCCTGGCCGCCCTAATGCTGGCCGGCCGCCGCCGCTCCCTGGGCCGGCGCGCGCAGCAACCGTCCCCTGCACCGCCCCTTTGCCCGCGCGCTGACAGCATTCCCGCCTTTTCCTCTCACGCTGTTGACGCGCGCGCGCCTTCCTCGGAACGGGGGCCGTGTGCAGCGTAACCGCCTTCCCCCCCCCTTTCCTTGCTCCCATCAGGGGGCCGTGTGCAAAGGCTTTCCCGCCTTACAGCCCAACTGACTTTAGCGCCGCTGAGCCCTCCACGAAGGGCCGTGTGCCAAGAGCCCGCGCTGCCTACCACAGCCGCTCCCAGGGCTCCCGTCTCACCCCGCCCTGGGGCGAGGGGGCAAGGCGGCTGCCTTTCCCCGTGGTACCCTTGTTCCCCCACCTCCGCCTTGTGTGGGGCCACGTGCAAAGGCTCTTCACACCTTCTTCCCCTCACACTTTTGCCTCCCCCCCTCCAGTCACGTACACAGGCCTGGTCTACACTGAAAAATTAGTTGCATCTGAAGAAGTGAGGTTCTTACCCACGAAAGCTTATGCTCCCAATACTTCTGTTAGTCTCAAAGGTGCCACAGGACCCTCTGTTGCTTTTTACAGATTCAGACTAACACGGCTACCCCTCTGATACTGAAAAATTAGATTGCCCTAGCTGCATGGCTCTGGGCAGGGAAACATTTTGCACCCTGTGCTCTGTTGTAAGGTTGCCCTGACCCTCTGGCGCAGCCAGATTAACCACAGCGGTGGGAGAAGCCCTTCCACCCATGTTGGAAGTGCCCGCGCTATGGCGCTCCAGGGGCACCGCTGTGGTGTAGACAGAGCCAAAGGCTCTTCATTCTTTTTCTTCTCCCGCTATCTTTTTCTTCTCCTCCGTCTCTCTGCCCCGTCACGCCACATGCAAGGGCTCTACCTCGTGCCCCATTGCCTCCCACCCAGCGCCATTTGCAAACACTCTTGCCCCCTCTCTACTCATGGCCTGCCGCACCACTCCCAGGGCCACATGCAAAGACTTCACACCTTTCCCCTTCCTGCTGTTAACCTAGACGGCACAGGGGCTCGCCTGGGGAAGGAAAACGGAGGTTGCAGTTCGTTGGAAGAGAGGGAATCTGAGCCCACTCATGGGGACGTGTGTAAAGCACAGAGCCATTGAAACACCCACACTTGTGTACCATTGTAAGACTTATATTCTGTAATAGTTACAGATTGAGCGGGGTCCGTTGCCCGGTGTGCATCACGCCAC